ACCTGAAAGCTGGGAGTAGCCCACCTAACTTCCTTGATTCTGGCTTTCCCATAATCTAATAAGCACTTATATTAGTTTTCTACTGCCATGTAGCAAATTACCACAAACTTAGCAGCTTGGAATAACACCTATTACTTCACCACTCTACAGGTCGGAGGTCAGGTGGGATCAATAGGGTTCCAGGTTAAAGTCTCTCCATACTGAAATCAAGGTGTCAGCTGTTGACAGGGATCTTATCTGGAAGCTCTGGGAAGTATATACTCCTAAGCTCGTTCAGGATATTGGCAGAATTCATCTCCTTGTAGTTTTAGGACTTAGGTCCTCAATTCCTTGCTGGCTGTCAGACAGAAGCTTCTCTCAACTCCTTAGGACCACATCCCTCCCCATGTGGCCTCCTCCATCATCATTCCAGCGATGGCACATCGAGTCCTTCTCCCAACATGGCAGCCAGAGTAGAACCCATCACACCCAATCCCCTCACACTTGGACTCTCACTCTCTTTTCTCTTCTCAGCCAGAGAAAGCTCCCTGACTTTAAGGGCTTGTGTGATTAGATCAGGCCCACTGTGGTAATCTCTTTATGGACCAGGATAAGCACCCAAGAGTGCTAAGGAAGGATGGACCATGATCAGATTTGTATTTTCACACAACAAATGTTTATTGAGAACTTACAATGAAGGTAGAAAATCCACTTTGGTACTGGGAGTATTGCCATATAACATAACATAATCACAGGAGTGATCACCAGCATATTCATAGCTTCTGGGATTAAAGTGGAACATCTTTGGGGGTAGAATTTTAGAATGCTACCTACTGTAGCACCAAAATCCCTCTATTAAATCACATTCTTCTTGAAAAACCTAAAGGGGTTTTCGTTTTTCTGTATTGAACCATAAGTGATCTAAGATCACAGTCTGCAAACTCAGAGTGAAGAAAACAATCCTTTGGATTATAATACTGTTACCCATGGAAATTTCAGGACTCTTACCCAACAAACCTAAGTTCGACAAACAATTATCTAGCAGCTGCCATGTGCCGGGTTGTGCTATGTTTAGGGGAATCAAAAAAGAGAAGAAGCCCTACCCTTACGGTCTAATGGGCAAAATAGACACACGAATAGAGCTTTTCAGTGTAACATTAGAGATGATAAGAGAGATTGGGCTCAAAGTTGAGTATCTCTCATTTACTCAAGAAATATTGATCTGACATCTACTCAGGATCAGGCATTAGCTTAAATGCTAGTGACTTAAAGACAATGAGGCATAATGCAGCTAGAACAATATGAAAGCCAGTGAAAATCAGGTATACAGTATCGCATTATTGCCAGAGAGCACATTTATTGTCATATATCACAACAAACTGCTGTGTTTTAATAATAGCTGCCATTTTTTTTTTTTTACTTTTTACTCATTAACCCCAACTACACAACTTACACATGCTATCATATTTAAATGTCACCTAAGGGGATCCCTGGGTGGCTCAGCGGCTCAGCGGTTTAGCGCCTGCCTTTGGCCCAGGGCACGATCCTGGAGTTCCGGGATCGAGTCCTGAGATGGGCTTCTGGCACGGAGCCTGCTTCTCCCTCTGCCTGTGTCTCTGCCTCTCTTTCTCTCTCTCTGTGTCTCCCATGAATAAATAAATAAATAAATAAATAAATAAATAAATAAATAAATAAATAGAAAAAAGTCAACTTCCTAACTTTTTAAAAATAAAGGCAGCCTGGGTGGCTCAGCGGTTTAGCACCGCCTTCAGTCCAGGGCGTGATCCTGGAGACCCAGGATCGGGTCCCACGTCGGGCTCCCTGCATGGAGCCTGCTTTTCCCTCTGTCTGTGTCTCTGCCTCTCTCTCTCTCTGTGTCTCTCATGAATAAATAAACAATTAAAAAAAATAAAATCTTTAAATGTCACCTAAGTGAGAAGAATTATTTTCTGAATTTTACAGAGGGAATCGAAAACAAGTCACTTTTCTAGATTAAGAGTGATCTGGGTTTGCCACCCACACAGACACCATTCTAACATCCCTCATACAGGATAACATCCAATGTCTAATGTTTGTGTTCTGCCCAGATCGTACTTCTTTGCTGCCTTCCCCATCGCATCCTACTCCCCGGGAGTTATCTTCCCACAATCAGAACCCGCCCCCTTTCTTGGGGAGCTATTTGTGGGGTCTCCTCACCGGCACAGAAGGAGGAGAGCATCTGGGAGTGCACATTCCTTGGGTGGTCCTTCACCAGTAACTGCTGGAAGTCAGAGTGTGAAAACACCAGCTCCTTTACCTTGTTCAGGAAGACTCGATTTATAGAGTTCCTGAATTTACCTGAAGATAGGGCAAATTCGACCCTTGGTGGGACTTCATGACTGCACACTTCCCCCACTTCCTCCTTTCCCTGCCCTCTGCCCCCCACCCACACTTTTCCTAGTTTCCCTTGGGAATTTCCTTACAAACATTTACACACAGGTCTGAGAGTCCTCCCTAAGACATCTGTGTTCTGACATTTACACTGCACTACCATGGGAATGAAGGGAAGACAGTGCTTAACTCCATTTGTGCCAGTTGGTGAAGACTTTCCAGTTATGAAAGATAAGCAGAGGCCTATCTAGGTGGTAAGTGGGAAGAAGAGCATTCCGGGCAGAGAAAATTGCACACACAAAAACCACAGAGCAGGAGGATGAGGGCAAGTCAAAGTGTAGACTTAAAAATTGGATATGCTGGGGGCAGCTGGGTGGCTCAGTGGTTGAGTGTCTGCCTTTAGCTCAGGTGATGATCCTGGGGCCCTGGGATCGAGTCCTGCATCAGGCTTCCTGTGGGGAGCATGCTTCTTTCTCTGACTATGCTTCTGTGTCTATCTCTCTCATGAGTAAATGAATAAAATTTTAAAAAAATAAAAATAAAAATTGGACATGCTGGAGCAGAAAGTGGGCCTGCCAGGAGGAGTTGGAGCTCTTAGGCCAGGAGAAGCACCTAGGAGTGTTAAGGAAGAATGGACCATGATCAAATTTATATTTTCACACATTAAATATTTATTGAGGACTTACAATGAAGATAGAAAATCTACATCAGTACTGGGAGCATTGCAGTGAAGACCAACCTGGTCTGTGTCCCTCATGGAGTTATAGAATAACCCTTTTCTGTCCAACACAGTAACCACAAAATACCTGTGCCTATTTAAATTTGAGTTAACTAAAGTTGAAATTTAGCTTCCCAGTCACATTAGTCACATTTCAAGTGCTCAGTGTGTCTACCCTATTAGATGGCTCTGGCACAGAACACCCTCAGCATTGTAGAAATTCTACTGGATGGTGCTAGCCTAACCACGTGAGAAAATAGCTGAGTCTTTCACCTAAGTTTTAATTCTTATGTGGCTATCTCCTACTTAGTCTTTTTTTTTTTTTAAATCTCTCCTTGTGCTTTTCCATTTTATACAGAAGACTGAGGATTCTTTTGATTGCACAACCGGGCCTCTGCACAACCACCTGCATTTGGCAATCAAATCATAGTCGCGGTTGTCAAAAGACCAGGATTGCAGAAATCCCTTTGAAAGTGCACGTGGTCCTTTTATGTGCTGGATGAGGGAGATCTGCTCACACCTGCCTGGAGAGCCCAAGCAGTGGAGTCCGCCTGCCTCCATCTGTTCATGATGTTCATTCTGAATGCTTGCAGCTCAAAGCCTACCTTCAAAAAGCAAAACAATATTCAGGAAAGAAGAATAACCTGAATTTCTCACCTGGCATCATACCATTTCCAGGGCTACAAAAATGAAAGTAAAACATCCACTAGCTATGGCAATCTCTGAAATCTGTCAGGGAATTTTTAAAAGGGTGATTTTTAAAAAATTTACCTGGTTAAAACCAATAGAAACAGGAATTTTCATTGGAGAGTCGTTTCCCTCTGCTTCATCTATGTTCTTACAAGAGCCAACGAACAACAAAGCATTTCATGATAGTCTAGAATAAATCCATCAACAGTATAAACACTAGACTGTGTAATCAAAGATTTTCAATCAAAGTGTCACTATGGGGAAATTTCAACATTGCTATTATGAAGTGCGTAGTGCAAATCCTAATGAGTGTGCCATTCAAAAATGAAATTCCCCCTAAAGAGGCACTTTCAAATTCAATAGAGTAAAGATTATACATCTCCCTATTCCTGATATGATACAGTTTTTAGGCTCTAAACAAACATTCCTGACTTCATGAAAGCTCTTCTTTTTATTACAATGATTAGAGGGCTTTGTTTAACAGAAGAGAAAGCACTACTTTTTTAAATAACAAAATGTCAACTTTGTTGACTGTTATGCCTGCATCCAAAGCTTCACTCAGTCAGCTTTATAGGATTTTTACTGGTCTTGATTTATGATAAACTGATGAACACTAGTGGACCAGTTCCCTAAAGGCCTGGAGCAGCTCTGGGAGCAAGGGGCTAAGGACCAAAGAGACCATCTCATTTCAAGGGGGAGAAGGTATCATTACAATAAGTAAGATGGTTTTTACAGATAGTTTGTTTTGTTTTGTTTTTTTTGCTTTTGCTTAGCACTCTGCTAATTCTGTTGCCCTGGCACCTGCAGGCAAAAGGGTGAAGGATATTCCCATCTCCTCTTTGTCTAATTCCACAAGCCTAAGGAAGCAATAATGACCAAGCTCTTAGAATCTTCCAGTTGATTATAGAGAAGGGCATTGTATTCCACTGTATATTCTTACAGCCCTGCCACCAGATGAAAGGAAAAGCATAAAAGCCCCAGCAAAGCTGGAACTCTACTTTTCCTGCTGTAACATGCCATCAAATGCGGATGGGGCCCTCCACTGATGCAGCCATTCTGTTGTTCACCTCCGCTGAGTTCAGCTGAGGATGTCTGAGATCAACAGGTGGCCTGGCTAATGGAACAGATTCACTCATTGTTTGTGTGTTTAATGAATCATTGAGTTACTGATCAGCAGTGAGCAATAGAAGCTGTTCAAACAGAAAAGAAGCCCAGCCGTGAGGTGGTGTCGCCACCACACTCCTTTGAAGCAGTGCTGGCCCCACGGACTGTGAGGGAGGCTTGGGGTTTCCTCCCTATGGTTCCCAGAAAAGCTGGTGGTGAGAAGAGGGTGTTATTTCTAATTGGATGATGAAAGTCAGCTCAGGGGACAGAGACCAAAGGGCCAAATGTAAAAAGGGGAGGAAGTGAAAACATCGGAATCAAAGGTTGAGGTAATACCACGAGACAGGTGTTTGCAGTGAACCGCGCAATAACCCCCATCCTGCCTCCCTCCGCAGGTCCTCAGGAAGCAACCAAGTGGGCAAGGGCCTAAAGAAGTAAGAAAAAGCAAGACTTAGGATTCGGATGCCGATTTCCTCACAAAGGGTTCATGGTGCAGTGGAAATCCTCTCTATTATCAGGAGGTAAGCTTGACCCTTTTTTGTGAGATTCCCACAAGTTGCACTGGGGCTTTTCTTGTGAGTAGAATTTGACTGAAGGTATGCCGGAATTGCATTTACTGGGTCACACTTGTCTTTTTTTTCTCTCCGCAAATAAGACTTTTTATTTGTCACCATTAAAAGTCTGAATGTTAACCAGATTCTCAGACTAGTGGCTCATATCCATCAGCTCATTTAACTGTATCACCTGTCTCATCCCAGGAGCTTTTCCAGAACTATTGCCTTCACCGTGAAGCAACATGAGTTCTCCCATTTCAAACTTGGGCTCCTTCAGCATTTTTACTTTTATAATGAACCCATCAGAGAGGATAAATAGATTGGAAATTCTTTCCCATTTCTGACTAGAATCACTTTATTGACAACATCTTTAGAACCATTTATCTGTGCCTTTTGGGTCATGATTTCTACCATCTTCCTGATTTGGTGGACCTATAGGTGCTGAATGTGAGAGGTCTTCCAAATCTGATAATTGCTTTTTTTTTTTAGTAAAACCAACAAAGAACAAATGAAGCATGTAACTCCTGGTACTCTTGATATTGACATGAGCTTCACTCATGGTCTGCCATATTCTTGACTATGGAGCACATTTTTCATGGGCAAGATCCAGGGCATAGAAGTTGGGCAGGTGGTTTTGCCCTGAATATCATTGATGGTTAGTTTGGATTTTCCTTTTTTAAAAAGATTTTATTTATTTATTCATGAGAGACATAGAGAGAGAGGCAGAGACACAGGCAGAGGGAGAAGCAGGCTCCCCACAGGGAGCCCAATGTGGGACTTGATCCCAGATCCTGGGATCATGCCCTAAGCCAAAGGCAGACACTCAACCGCTGAGCCACCCAGACGTCCCAGTCTGGATTTTCTAACGCAACTTCATCATTCTGCAGAGCAACAGGCCTCACTTTATGACCCTTGGGGCGGAGGGTTCCTTGAGGTCTCAAGATGAGCATTGTTCTGTGCTTCCTGTCTTGATACATGTTTTCACATCATACCAATCTGCCTTAGAAAAGAGACAAACCACTTCTTCTTGGTCTCCTTTAACCACCTTTTGTGGGAAGTGTTTTTTAAAGGCAGGGGACAAATGAAAGATATGGCAGAGTGATTTGGTAAGGAGAGAACTGTGCTATGGGTTAAGTAACCTGTGTCTTAGTTTCATCTCTGCCGCTGTCTCTGGAGTATCACCGGTCACATACTTCCCAATGGCAGAGATTGGCTACCCATTCACCAAACCTTGTTCCATTCCTCTTGACACACAGCTAACCCCAGGTTCCAGCTTTCCTCATAGCCAGATGTGTCCATATGACAGGCTCCAGCCAATGGAATGTGCACCAAAGTGTGCAATCAGACCTGGATCATAATCCTCATAGATGATCATCCATGCTCCCTTTTCCCTTGTCTTCAGCTGGATGCTGATACCCAGGGTTGACCTTGAAGTTCACAGAGCCTCTCTCAAGCTTGGGTTGTCCTCCATCTCAGGGTAGCTGGAGAATCTAGGGCAGCTGGAGTGCCCAGCCTGGATACCTCAGCTGTAAGCAAGCTTCTCCATTTACCTTAGTGCACTGTACAAACATCAACTCCTTCCACATGTGCCATAAAACCAAAGAGTAAAGAGATGTTCCCATGGACTCCGAGGTTTCTTCCTGCCCTATCATCTTTGATTCAAATCCATTGCCTCATTTATACTTCCATCCACCCTAGACAAAGTCAGGGAAGATGCTCTTCCTGTCTCTGTAAGATCTGGTGAAAAGAGGGAGACTTTTCTCTATTACATTATCTCTCAAAGACAGAGATAGAAGAGGAATAAAGAGAGAGAAAATAGAAAGTCTGTCCCAGTTAGTGGGAGCGAATCAGGAGGTAGTCTAGAAGGCAGTAGGCTGAATGGCAACTCAGGCCAGAGAATGAGAATGTAATTTGCCATTGCACCTGGCTGGTGGCAGATCTTTGGGCTATAAATCCTGAATGAGGGCCAGGGCAGTAATAATAAGCTTCTATTCCACCAGCACATCTCTTGCTGTGGGTTTGTGCTTAATCAAGCCAGCCTCAAATCCTTTTAGAACTGAAGATCTTGACTATTCCAAAATGAATTTCCATCCATATGTCCTCTTCAATAAAGCCTTCTTTTCAACACAGAGGAGGATGTGAAAGCTATTGCTCCCTTAGGCAATGTCATTGCTATTTGAAAAACCAAGATGTATATACACACATGTGTCTTGTGTGTACATAACTTACAATATAATTTTCTGATTCTGAATGTTTGTGTGTACAGTGGAATGTTAACTCCTTCTGGATATAGAAGCTACACCGTATGTCCCTATAGTGGGAATGTGTCCCAATCATAGAGTAAATGGGTTGCATTTGGTTTGTGGCATTAAATAGTCAAACTAAGTGCTTGCTATTGGGATAATGCATAACTAGTCTACATAGATGTTTATAAGCACCCCTTTTTTATAGGATAAATGAAGGGTAATTCCATGTTTTGGTCTTTTTTTTTTTTTGATCTTCGAAACATTTATATAGTGTTTATTATATAACAAGTATAATGAAACAAATATTATTCTAAATGTTTTTACAGATTTTTTTTTATTTAATTCCCTATTAAAGTGAGATATTCAAGGAGGCCTGGGTGGCTCAGTCAGTTAAGCATCTGCCTTTGGCTCAGGTCTTGATCCCAGGGTCCTGGAGTGGGGCCCTCAGTTGTCAGGTTCCCTGCTCAGCAGGGAATCTGCTTATTCCTCCACTCTGCCCTCCCCCTGGTTCAAGCGCTCGCTCATGCTCTCTCTCTCTCTCAAATAAATAGATAGATTAAAATCTTAAAAAAAAAATAGAAAATAAAGTGGGACATTCAGGAGTCCCACTTAGCATTCAGGAAGAATTTGATGGAAAGTGGCAAGGACCATAGGTCAGAAGATCTTACTTCCATACCATAGCATGACCAAGTTTGGCTGGCAGAGATGCAGTTATAAAATGACACCTCCTTAGGCTCTGCTTCCTCATTTTTGAAGTAAGCACAAGCTAGATGACCTCCAGGATCTAATCCAATTCTAGGACCGTTTTGAATTCATTCTCATCCTGACCCCATGACTCCTAATGATCTGGTGCCTGACAAACTTTCCAAAATTTTCCATCTTGTATCCCAGCCTCACTTAGCTCCAGGCCCATGGGCCTCTTTTCTTTGTTCCAAAAACACTGAGCTCCCTTCCAGCTTAGGGCCTTTCCACTAGCAGTTCCTGCTCTGGCAAGCTCTTTCCCTGCATCATCTGCTTGACTTTTTTTTGTCATTCAAGTTACTGATTAACCTCTTCAGTGAGCCTGTCCCCAACATCTCCTCCTAAACTATTCCTACACCCAGCACTAACTTTCCATCAATCACTCTGATTTACTATCACCTGTCACCATCTGATATTTTCTTGTTTATTTATTTGCTTCTTTGTTTATAGTCTGTCTCCTCTCATGAGGAATAAACCCTTGTGAGATTGAGGCATTATCTGTCTTATTTGTCATTAGGTCTCCATTGCCTACATAAGAGCACAATAGCCACACAGCCCAGCAAGTCTAGTGCTTGCAGTAGAGGCAAAATGGAGCCCAAGACTTAGAGCCATAGGATTCCTAAAAGTCACATAGAGGAGCAGAAGAATCCCTTAGTGCTATACTTTCTTACTCAACTCAGTGATTTCAGAGCAAAGGTCTGACTATGTGCAGATCCACATCCTTTTTCTCCTACCGACCTTCTATCTCTCAGAGACATGAATCTTCAGACACATCCTGTGCTGTTCTATTACCAGCCCCACAAGCAGGAAATAGCATATCCACCTAAGGAGAATGATTCCTCACTGCTGAGGAGACAGATGAGCAGCTCTGCAGATTTGGGGCTTCAGGATCTGGGGAGGGAGGCCAAGGCTAGTGGCCAGTGGGACTTAGCCTAGATGCTGAGCCCGAAGTGGTGTCTCAACTGAAGCTGATTTGATGCTGGCTGCTGCCCTGTGCAAGAGTATGTCTCCTCTCCTAATGGAAGGACCGCATTACCAAGGCAGATGTAGTAAACATTCTTTCTTAGGTCTCTCACCTGACAGAGAAAATCCCTGAGGTTTAAGGAAGCCATAGAGTTTCTGGAAGGGACAGCTGTAGAAGCTGCTCCTTCCCACTCAAAAGGGAGAAGTGATGCTTAACTCACAGCTGAAGGCAGGGTCCCCACCCAGGTGAATCACCTGGGACTAAAGTAGAATGAAGAGGAATAACACTGGTGAAGTCACAGTGCAATGTCAGAGTGTCACTATCTGGATTTCAGAAATAGGGACTGGGCCGTGTATGAAGAATCATCTCAACACACTCATGGCCTGGGTAGAGTCCGCATGATTGTTTTTATGGTTAATTGATTTTGACTTCTCTTTCTTCTCTCCAATCAGTTTCAGAACTTCCAGGTCTGTTAAGAGACACCCTTGCACTCAGATTCCTCCACTTACTCCTCAAGACCTCCTACATCAAATACCATGTATAATGACAACTCTGGACTAGTGATTTTCTATCCTATCATATAAAGATTACAGGGTCAGACATTTCAGCACTTCTGTGCGCCAGCATTTGGTCAAGAAGTTCTTCCTTAAGCATTACTAACATATCTCTTGCTGCAATGTCAGCTCTTTCTTTGTTTCAACCTACTGTGGAGAAGCAAAATAATGAGTATCCAAATTCTTCATGATTTCTGAAAACAGTGAAATCAACCCTTAGCTCTCTCTCTCTCTCTCTCTCTCTCTCTCTCTCTCTCTCTCTACTAAATTTCATGAAAGGCCATGCTCCTACCACTATAATCTATCTGGTAATCCTTTTCTGGACTTCAATTCTTTGCATCATTTTTAAAAAGTCAGAACTGCACATACTGTTTTTGTAAGGTCCTTGGCAAGTCTTGGAACAAGGAAAGGTTCTTTCTGATTGGTGATGTAGAATTTCGGTCATTTTCAATCTGAAAATAT